GCACGAACGTGAGCAAGGCAGCCCCAAACGTCGAAAGCACATGCGTCACCGGGGGACCCGGTCCAAAGGAGGGTCGGCGAAACGTGCGGCCGCTGGGAGCTTGGCCACAAGTTGAGCTGGTGAGCGGCGTAGCGAATGGCGAACGGCCACAGAAAATGGGGTGCACCGGCATGGATCATGGAGGTACGAGCCACCTCCATGACCAAGCCGATGCGTCGCTCAGCAACCCCATTCTGCTGTGGCGAGTCCGGCAAGGTGTACGACTGGGTGATGCCCTCCGCACGACAGAACTGTCCAAGCCGACCAGAAGGGAACTCGCCGCCACGGTCAGAGTGGAGACACAACACGGGGAGACCGCGGTGAAGATGTGCAGCCACAACCCACAGGAGAAGAACGTCGGGCACATCGGCCTTCCGCTCCAAGGGAAACACCGTGGTGTAGCGTGTGTAGTCGTCGACGAGCACAAGAAAGTAGCGCTCGCCACGCGGTCCGGGGACGGGGGCTGGGCCCCAAACGTCCAGGTGCAGGGTCTGAAGGGGAGCAGTAGCAGGGTGAAGCGAGGAGGAGTGAGGGGCACGGTGGAGCCGGCCCTTGACGCAGGGCGTGCACGGTGGAGCAGGCGAGAGGGGAAGGGCGGGGAGCGACGCGGGGAGGCCTAAGACAAGACCGTGCTGGGACATGTGACGCAGACGCGGGAGTGCAGGGTGACCTAGGCGGTGGTGCCACAAAAGGGACGGGTGAGTGAGGGACCGACACGAGCAAGCTGCAGCGACCTGGGAGGATGCACCAACCGGAGGGGGAGTGGGGTCGAGGGTAAACAGACCGGACACCGGGTCCCGGGGGAACGTCGCAAGGGGGGAACCTGTGGCAGCCTCGGTACAGACAGCAAACCGCTCGTGCCCAGGGAACGTGGTGGTGACGCCGAGGTCCTGAAGACAGCCGACACCAACCAGGTTCCTGGAGAACGAGGGAACGTGGAGGCCTGTAAGGGAGCCGGAGGGAATGGCGGGACAGGGAAGGAAAGTGGAGCTGCGAGCGACGACAGGACCAGCAGAGGGGTCGGCGAGTGCGACAACAGCAGGCGCAGCAAGTGGTGCGAGCGTGGAGCGGTCGCGGAAGAAACAGGCAGAAGCACCGGAGTCGAGATGAAGGACAGCGAGGCAGTGGCGGAGGCTTGGAACGGAGCCAGTGCAGAACCTAGGCTAGGCAAACTAGGCAGTCCTACGCCTAACGCAGCAGGGGAGGCTAAGCTACACAAGGGTGAGACACCTAAACTAGAGTACACCGGGAAATAAGATCCAGCAACACTAGAAGCGTTAGCATACAAAGCATGCAAAGCAGCACCTATCTGATCCATATCTAACTCAAAGATCGGCACGCCCTGGCGAAGCACGCTGTGCCAGTCGGGGAGGTTCGGGGCCGGGCCAAAGCGACGATGAAAGAGATCGTCGAGGCGGCGAAAACAACGGGCGGTCGGGTGCGGGCGGCGGCACAGAGTGCCGCGGAGAGGCCCGGTCTGAAGCTAGTACTGGCAGGTTATAGCACTGGAGCTGCTTGTAGACGCCAAGCTGCACGGGCCACCACCTCGGCCACCACTGCCGGAGGTGCCGGGCCAACCAGGTGGGAGACGAGCCCACAGCTGCGACGGCTGCTGATGGGACAGCGGCAGCTGCTGCTGGGGCTGCTCCAGCTGTGAAGGCGACTGCGTCTGCTCCTGCCCACCAGTGGTAGTCCCCTCAGGTGGACTACCGTCACCACCACCACTACCACCACCACCAGTGCCACCACCACGACCTCCCTGGCAGCCACGGCCACCGCGGTGCGGACGCTGCTGCGGGTGGACCGCAGCTGCCGTCTCGGTAAGAGGGGTCGCAGTGGCGACTGCAGCCGAAACGTCAATAAACGTGCACTGGAAAGGGGCACAGCCGTGAAAGATAGAGACTGCCGGCGCACCGCTCGACTGAGCGATAGTGCGCTGGCGCGTCTCGATCTCGGTGAGGGTGTCGACAAAGGCGGTCAGTGTGAGGTCACCCGGGTGCTGGCTAAGGAAGCGGTCACGGGCACTAGCTAGGCGGTCCGGCAGGCGCATGTCGGTCATGCAGAATGGGGGGGGGAGCGCAGTGAGCTGGGCAGCAGTGTTGGCAGTGCGATAGCGAGTCTCTAGGGCACGCAAGTGAGTGGCAAAGTCTGCGACAGTAGGGAAGGCAGCAAGGTCTGGGAACAGCATCGGGAAGAGCAGGCGGCCGGCAGAAGCGGATGCAGGTGTGGAATAGCGAGCAATAACAGCGTCTAAATAAGCGTTGGCCGTATCAACTGTAGCGAAACGCGAGCGCTCAGACACAGGGAGGGCGTGACTGATAGCAACCTGAGCTAGTGCATCGCGTGAGTCCCAGACCGCACAGGCAAGCGCAGCAGTAGAGAAAGCCTCACTCTCAGCGGAGGTGGGGTCAGCAGGGAGGGGAGCAGGTGCAGGGGGGCGGGGGAGCAAGCCATCAGCATGGACAACCAGCGAGTGTCCATCCTGGCGCTGACCTGTAAGCTGACGGCGGAGATCGGAGAGCCAGGCGGCGAAGTCAACCACGTGGCCCTCAACGTCCAGGCAGAGCACGAAGTCAGCCATCGTGCAGGGTCAGCGACACAGCTCCTCAGCGACACAGCGGCACAGCTCCACAGCTCGGCAGGAGCACAGCGGGACGGGGACATGGCGGCAGCACTCTCCAGTAGGGCGGCTGCAGGGGCGCCCCAGCGCGGGCTAGCAGAGGCTCGAGGTGGCACGGCAGGTCCGAGCAGGCACGAGGAGGGGCCGGGCGGGCAGGAGGAGGAGTCGGGTGGTTGCACTGGGACCGGGTGGGCGCTAGGAGGGGCCTTGCATGCGCGGGGCGGCCGGGCAGGCGCGACTGGGGGCCGGGCGGGCGCGAGGAGGGACCGGGCGGGCGCTGCTGGGGCCGGCTAGGAGCGGGCTCGACGGTTAGTGGGCCGGCCAGGAGCGGGCGCGTGGGGCCAGGGGGGGCCAGCTAGGAGCGGGTGCGACGGCGAGTGGGGCCAGCTAGGGGCGGGCGCGAACGGCCAAGGGGCCGGCTAGGAGCGGGCGCAAACGGCCAGGGGGCCGGCTGGGGGCGGACGTGACTGCCAGGGGGCCGGCTAGGGGCGGACGCGACGGCCAAGGGGCCAGCTAGGGGCGGGCGCGACGGCCAGGGGGCCGGCTAGGGGCGATCGCGACGGCCAGGGGGGCCAGCTAGGGGCGGACGCGACGGCCAGGGGGCCGACTAGGGGCGGACGTGACGGCCAGGGGGCCAGCTGAGGGCGGACGCGACGGCCAGGGGGCTGACTAGGGGCGGACGCGACGGCCAGGGGGCAAGCTGAGGGCGGACGCGACAGCCAGGGGGCCGACTAGGGGTGGACGCGATGGCCAAGGGGCCAGCTAGGGGCGGACGCGACGGCCAGGGGGCCGGCTAGGGGCGGTCGCGACGGCCAAAGGGGCCAGCTAGGGGCGGACGCGACGGCCAGGGGGCCGGCTAGGGGCGGACGCGACGGCTAGGGGGCCAGCTGAGGGCGGACGCGACGGCCAGGGGGCCGGCTAGGGGCGGACGCGATGGCCAGGGGGCCGACTAGGGGCGGACGCGACGGCCAGGGGGCCAGCTGAGGGCGGACGCGACGGCCAGGGGGCCGACTAGGGGCGGACGCGACGGCCAAGGGGCCAGCTAGGGGCGGACTCGATGGCCAGGGGGCCGGCTAGGGGCGGACGCGACGGCCAGAGGGGCGACTAGGGGCGGACGCGACGGCCAAGGGGGCCAGCTAGGGGCAGACGCGACGGCCAGGAGGCCAGCTAGGGGCGGACGCGACGGCCAGGGGGCCGGCTAGGGGCGGATGCGATGGCCAGGGGGCCGGCTAGGGGCGGGCGAGAGACTAGGTCGCGGGCGGAAGCGGGCGGGTGAACCTAACCTACTCGATACCATGTTAGAATACGTGAATGAATTACTAGAAGGGAAAACATGACACATATAGCAGTTGGGTTGTACTCACTAGGAGCACACACCGATACTAGCCTGTAACTTCTACATGCATAACATGTAAGAGTTGACATTGCGTTATTGCAGCTTAGGGCGTATTCTTAGCATCAGCATCATAAACGCGATCATTGACGTAGCGTCCGTAGGGATGACATGTCACGTTTGGCTGTGTTAAACCGGAGCGCGCCCACGTTTTGGGGTTAACACTGTAGCTGCTGTGTCAAATTGAGTCGCTTGCACGAAGTTTAAAGGCGGCTCATTGGCCAGCGCCGATTTGAAACGACGACCCTTTAGAAGCCAAGCCGCATCTACATTGCTGGTGGGGAAAGTCCACGGGTAATTTGCTGACAGATCAGCAACATTGAGCTGCTGATCTGTACGGCTACGATTTGTTCTCGCAACCTAGAAACGTCATATTTCTAATCTGACGCATTACGAGCAGTTCTCAGACATGAACATTATCGTGGTTTTCGGGAAATGATCAAAAAGGGTCCTCGGTTTGCCAGAGGGGTGAGCAAACAAGGTCCGTCAACCCCGAGGCCCACCAGAATAGTAACGTACCAGCGTCCGCACCTAGCCCTCGCCTCCGAGCCTGGGCTACACGCGCTCCGTCGTCCCTACCCTGAACAGTGTCACAAGATTCCATCAAACACTCACCTCAAACTGGGTGCTCCGTCAGCCACTCACGCGAACCCTAGGTACAGTTGTTGTGAGGTGCCGAAATTTCGTGCGTGCGTCACATTTCGTGAACGCGTCATTTTTTTCGTGAGCACGGAATTTTGAAATGTGGAACTTGACTGATAAACCTGAGACACATACGATCAAACCAGAGGGATTATTTTTAGAAACCCTAGAGATTGTCGCACATTAGGCTCCTCTAGTTCCGCATCGTCGGTGGCACCTAACGTTCATCAACCTTCGACCACGTGTCCACTTTCGCGGTGCGTATACATGGATTTCCATTACTACGTTTTCCATACTGTTATTTTAAAGCGTTGCATTGGGTATGCAGCATTGATTTTCACGTAGTTGTCTAAAGAGATCGTCCCTCTTTTTTCTGAACGGAATACTACCTGGGCAGATGAGCACACCCACGACTATGGATATCCCTGTGGGCAAGCCATATGCTTCCTCAAACGAGGCGAAAGAAGACATTAAAAGGCAATGTGCGGGAAAACGGTGTCCTTTCAAATGGTTGCAAAACAAACCCGATAGAGTCGAAGCATGTTGCACATCCTTTTCCCATGCGCGAAAAGGCACTCCTTGGGTGCAAAGTAGTGAGTCAGCCGAGCCTGCAGAGTCGTGTCCATTCAGGATCACCGTTAGACAGGACTTAGATGGCTCACTTCAAGTCGTAACAGCAAAGCTACAGCATCTGGAAGATTGCAACGAGCGTCCTAAGAAGCCATCACGCGCAGATCTTGTTGAGCATGCTAACACCATGCCAAACGTCACCCTTGACCCAAGGACTCTGATTAGAGAAGTTCAACAGCGTACCGGTGGGAGGGCCTCTTACTCAACAGGACGGAGAGCGATACACGACATTAAGATGGCTGACCCACAGAAGAATGACACTTCCTTTCAGTATGTGAGGAGTATTCTTGAGAATCTAGTGCGTGAGGATCCTGGGACGGTGGTCACTCTAACAAAGCGTGATGGCCGCTTTTACAGTGCGAGCGCCATTCCCAGTGTCGCGCGGTCAACCATGCTCAATGCTGTCCCCATCTTGGTCATTGACGGATGCCACAATAAGACAGTATGGGGCGGTCAGACGATCAACCTAGTTGTTCTAGACAGCGACGGTCGTTACTTGTCGGTTGGGATTGCGTTTGTGGAGGTGGAGAGCAGTGAGGGTTGTGCATTGCCGTTTAGGGAACTACTCAAGGTTTTTCCTGAGCTAAATTCAGGGGGGTGGGTCATAAAGCACGATCGTGGGGCAGGTTGGGGGTCCTGTGCAGGGCTTCTTCCCCATGCACATGAGTCTCATTGCATTGTCCACATCGGTCGCAACTTCCATACCAAGTTTGGAATGGATTTGAGCATGCTGATCAAGGAGGCAGCTGAGACCTTGACTGAGGAGCTGTTTGACTTCCGCATGCAGAGGATAGAGGGGATGTGCCCGGGTGCAGTGCTCTATCTTGCCGGGGAAGGAGGCCAACTGCTATCGAAGTGGGCAACTGTGCACTTTCCAGCTCCAAGGTTTGGATGCCTTACGTCGAATCCTGTGGAGTCGCAGCATGCATCAATGCATTATTTAAGGGACCGAACCATAGCGCAGGTGCTTCTTGGATGGGTCCAAAACTTGCCCAAGATAAGGAATGACCGGCTGCCAAGTCGCGCCGCCAAGGTGTGTTTTATGTGTAGGATTCCGGTACCTAAAAGCTACTCTATCATGTCTTTCAATCCACATGCATGGAAGCTACCATTCAGCAAGGGTTTGGAGCCGCCTCTTAACATGCATCCAACATGCCCTTTGTCTCCTGTTTCCGCCTGGCACCCCATTTTGCAGGGAGTACGGATTACCCTGTGTTCACATCTTTGCTGCAGCTGGGGCGAGAAACCCCCTTCCTTTCGAGATGATTCATCGTGTCTATCATCTTGACACGATCAAGGCCATGTACAAGGAGGGGATGAGGCATATTGATCCATCGTCAATAGTGCCAGACAGGGTAACGCTTCCTCCAAAATACAAGAGCAAGGCAGGGCGTAAGAGAAAGAAGCGGATCCGTTCGCAGATGCGAAAGTGCAGCAGATGCACAGCGAAGGGCCACAACGTGCGCACATGTGAGGACAGGGAGGAGGCGAGAGGAGGGGTAGGATTTCAGCAACCACTGCAGGGGCCCCTCAATTTGCAGACCTCCACACTTTCAAGGCTAGGGATTGATTTTGTCGATTGCGAGGGATGCCGTGGTCGCCACAGGCTGGGAGGAGCTTGCCGTAGTTCACAGCCAATTGAGCAGCAGCAACAGCTGGGGCAGCAGCATGTGCAACAGCAGCAGCAGCAGCAGCAGGGGCAGCAGCAGCAGCAGCAAGGGCAGCAGCAGCAGCAAGGGCAGCAGCAGCAGCTGCAGGGGCAGCAGCATCAGCAGCTTCAGCAGCAGCAGCAGCAGCAGCAGCAGGGGCAGCAGCGGTGGCAGCAGCAGCAGCAGCAGGGGCAGCAGCATCAGCAGCAGGGGCAGCAGCATCAGCAGCTTCAGCAGCAGCAGCAGCAGCAGCAGCAGGGGCAGCAGCGGTGGCAGCAGCAGCAGCAGCAGGGGCAGCAGCATCAGCAGCAGGGGCAGCAGCATCAGCAGCAGCAGCAGCAGCAGCGGCAGCAGGAACAGGGGCAGGGGCAGCAGCAGCAGCTGTGGGGGCAGCAGCTTCAGCAGCAGCAGCAGCAGCAGCAACAGCAGCAGCAGCAGCAGCAGGGGCAGCAGTGGCGGCAGCAGCAGCAGGGGCAGCAGCATCAGCAGCAGCAGCAGCAGCAGCAGCAGCAGCAGCAGCAGCAGCGGCAGCAGGAACAGGGGCAGGGGCAGCAGCAGCAGCTGTGGGGGCAGCAGCTTTAGCAGCAGCAGCAGCAGCAGCAGGGGCAGCAGCATCAGCAGCAGGGGCAGCAGCATCAGCGGCAGGGGCAGCAGCATCAGCGGCAGCAGCAGCAGCAGCAGCAGCAGCAGCAGCAGCAGCAGCAGCAGCAGCAGCAGCAGCAGCAGCAGCAGCAGCAGCAGCAGCAGCATCAGCAGCATCAGCAGCATCAGCAGCAGCGAGGGCCGCAGCAGCAAGGGGAGCAGCTGCAGCAGCAGCAGCAGCAGCTGAGGGTGGGGGAGCAGCAGCAGCAGCAGAGGCGGGGGGGAGAAGGGCAGCAGCAGTGGCAGCAGCACCAGCAAGGGAGGCAAGGGCTGGAGCAACGAGGGCTGGGAGAGCATCAGTGGCAAGGGCAGCAACGCAATCAGGCAGTTCGATTGCACCAGGGGTGGCAGCAAAACTTAGGTTCACAACAAAGATCACAGCAACGACGTCGGCAGGAGTTGCGGGTGTGCAAGCCTTTGATGTTCTCACTATGGGAGACCCTAGCATGCAGTTCCAGAGGCAGCGTGAAGTTATAGATCATGGGCAGCAAGGCAGCAGGCTGGGTGGAGAGGGGAGGGTCTTGGGAGGATCATGAGGTGGTGAACAATCCAGGCAAGGAGCTGGAGCGCCTCGGGGTAGCAGTAAGTACCATACCAGTAAGGGATGCATCTGGAGTAGAAGCAAACCCCACTGCATTTCTCGAAAATGCTGGAGTAACAAATTCAGCTGAGGGAAACTCAGTTGCCCAGTTTTGGGGACACCTACGAGGGTTGGCACAGGAGACATCACAAGATGATCTTGTGGCATTGCGGCGAGTTCGGCGAAAACAACGACTGCGCCTACAAACTGAGGTCATACCAGAGGAGGCAGATGAAGAACCGGATGCCGCCGAACCATCAGCGGGCGCTGGGCCGGTGAGAGTATCAACAGCGGCTAAACGCAATGCAGGATGTGGGCGCAGCGAGACCAATCGACAACACACAACATGCCGTGCATCTAGGGGACGCGGCGATGCAGGGGGTTCGAATGTGCAAGGGGCGAGAGGAAGCAACCGAAGGAACAGAGAGGGGCAGCAGCAACAACGGCAAGGTGAGGGGCAGCAGCAGCAACACCAGCAAGAGGAGCAGCAGCAGCAACGCAGGTGGGGGCAGCAGCAACAGATTGTTCATCGTCACCAAGGAGACCACTATCTACAGCCCGGTGGACGGTCATAAGGCCGACCTTGCCATATGCGACAGAGACTCTGGCGTCGTCTGGATCTGTGATGTCACTGTCACGGATCCCATCAGCACCCGGGACCCGCACGCACGCAAGGGGCGAGGATACATGGCCCGGGAGCAGGCAGATAAGAAGATTTACCACTATCGTAACCGCGCACCTTACGTCGGTTTCTTCCCCTTGGCTGTAGAGACCTACGGCTGCCCTTGTGCCGAGGTTCCGAGCTTTCTCAAGCTCCTGGCGGACACAAGGGCAAGACGGCTTTTCAACGCGGACCCGAGCTCCTACCAGGCGGCGAAGCTGCTGCATCAGTTCCGCCAGCGCTGGTCCGTCACGCTCCAGCAAGCACAGGCCTTGGCCTACCTCGGGAAGGTCAACGAGGCTGCCCCGGCAGAGCACCCCCCCATGGGTACCCCTGATGCCATCATGGGCCTAGGGGACTGTTTTGCCATAGCGGAGCCCCTCGGGGAGCTCCAGTAGTCCGGCTGCCCACCCCCAGCATGCACGTACCTTTGGTAAGTGTTCAAGTTTGCCCGCATGCTTAGTCTGAACAACGTTCTCAATCAATACAAGGACCGCTTGAGAGATTGAGAGAGAGAGAGAGAGAGAGAGAGAGAGAGAGAGAGAGAGAGAGAGAGAGAGAGAGAGAGAGAGAGAGAGAGAGAGAGAGAGAGAGAGAGAGAGACTAATTTCCGTTCATGATTTTGGACTACTTGTGGTTCAGGCTTTACGTAACTTGTGGCTGTATGGTGACTACGCTGGAGGAACGGAGTTTATGTGTGTCGAGGTTTGCCACGAACGATGGATGATTTTCTTTTTGTATGTGTCCTTCAACGCCTCTACATATTGAATAGCGTTATGTTCTTCAAATAGACATGTGACGTCGATGTGCGTACCTTTTTAATCTGCCTGCCATCAAACCAGTCATTCTCAAGCTTGTGCATCTTTTTAACCGGAAAGGGAAGCATGTACATCGATCGTCGACTACGTAGGCGACGAAGCTTCTACTAGATGACCAGTGAGATTGGCGGCACGTACAGCAGCTCTAAGCGGAGCTCAGTTTCCAGGTTTTTGGCCTGCTCATGCCTAAGTGTGACGTGTGCTCCAATTTTATGTCTCAATGTTTATCTCTCTATCTGATTGCTTCGTTTTTGTTACAACCAATGTGTGTAAACATCGATTTTTTATCGTGCTGTTCTTTGCGCTCAGTGACTACAGCGTTCCCATTGTCCTTGTCTATTTTACGTTTGAGTTATGGAGAAGAAAACATCTGCAGTGACCCTTGAAAATAATTGTGGCAGCAAAGTCTTGAGTATTACTGTTGCATTGGCTACACTGGCCGTGACACCTGAATGAAATTGACTAATTATAGTAAGTTTATTTTGCATGCCGCAGCACCGTCCGACAAGATGTGCTAAACTCATGCTCACATGGCATTGTTGTTGATCTCTTTACTGGATATGACGCCTTGTGTGTTGGTGACAATGGCAGAAAGGAGCACTATTCCGTCCCTTTTCTTGGCAAGCTTCGCGCAGGTAAGGACCGGGCCATTTTGTACATCTCTCGCTGACATGTGTAATCTTTTGTTTGTTAACCACCTGGGCGCAGGCTTGCTGGTTTTTTTTTTTTTTTTTTTTTTTTTTTTTTTTTTTTTTTGTGCAGAAAGTGCTTATTGCCAACGCGATTGTTGCGTATCTTCTGGAGTCGTTACCGATTATGGTTTAGTTTGAAGTCTTGTAGAAATTGTCTTGAAATTGTGCAGATATTGTAACGCTATATCTTAATAATATGCATTTGCTACACCTAAGCGTCCAAATGAAAGAGCTGCTGAAACGACCCACTGGGAACGCCGATGCTTGATTTGTGCCCAATTGGTATACCACTCCCATGTTCAAAATGTGTTCGCCTTGGTGTTCTAGACGTATTCTGTGCTGGTGTTAAAAAATTCGAAACACGTTGTCCCTAAAAAGTATCCTTGGACGGGTTTGGAATTTGTGATTGTGACACAACTTTCAGAGGAGTGTGTAGTGCAGTCGTCATAGCATTTCATATCTCAATGGTACAACACACTCTTAGTTAGAAGTACATGGATGTTCTGAAGGACGAAGCTAAGCAGGCAGATGCCGACTAGGAAAGTGGGAGAGGGGGGTGGGAGCAATCAGCGAAGAGAAATGAGAATGAGACTAGGTGGCAGGTACATTGGATCTGCGAGAATGTGAAGGAGCTTGTCTCCTTTACAGCAAAACTCCTATTCAAAGTGTATCAAAATCTGTAAAATTTTTGTTCCTGAAGAAAAATAAAATTTATTCATTTCAACTGGTGTTCAAATCTCAACTTTTTACACAGAGTTCGGACATGAAAAATTTAAGATGTATATACCGAGCAAAGAAGTGGTCTGATAATTGAAGTTATGCGCCTCTTGGTCTGATAACGAGGGAATTACAACAAATAGGGGATGTTCCACGAACCGTAGCGCATGCCAAGGGGGGATGCATCTTATGCCCTGTCACACTGGCTGCCAAAGGCCGTCAGATGATGGGTGGCAATTGATGCCCACCACGACAGCATAGCAGCGTATGGATGTGTGTGCATTCAATGCCCATAGCTAGCCCATATGACGTCATATCATATTAACATATGGAACTGTCGTGAAGTTAGGCTAGGTAGAAATAGGAGGAGCCATAAAAATGGCGGGAGATCTAGATCTAGGATGTAAGCGAGAATGTCGAGAGAAAAGAGAACTAGGAAAGAAGAGAGAGGGATACAAGGAGGGGTGTTGTACCCTCTACTGTAATGTTCAGTAACGACTACCAAGCCTACAATTATATACTAACATATATATAATTTAACAGCAACCTCAAAACATCCTTCAAATAAAACCATGGTATCTTATCTTTTACCGAAACTATATACAAAATGGAGAATTGGTGTACAATATACATGCCTAATACAAGACATAGTATCTTTTTTTTCCATGGGGGCCTTCTATCCGAGCGTTCCTTGTATGTTGAGACTATAAGAGGAATGGAGGTGCGTTCATGGCCATGTTCATTCATGGTTTGTAAAGCTTCTTGCGTTGGCCACCTTAAATCCTTGCACAAAACTACCATGTACCACCCTTCCAATTGTCTTGGACCGAGCTTACAAGAAAGAAGAAGGCCGCCATGAAATGGCGTCCGAGGTTTAGCTAGGGAAGATTGACGAGAGAGGAGGGATTTCGAGTAGAAGAGAATGAAGTACAAAAAGGGGGTTATCCCCTCTACAGTAGGATGCAGCTAGTAGCATAACTAGGGTTCGCGTGAGTGGCAGCGCCCAGTTTGAGGTGAGTGTTTGACGGAATCTTGTGACACTGTTCAGGGTAGGGACGACGGAGCGCGTGTAGCCCAAGCTCGGAGGCGAGGGCTAGGCGCGGACGCTGGTACGTCACTGTTCAAGTGGGCCTTGTTTGCTCACCCCTCTGGCAAACCGAGGACCCTTTTTGATCATTTCCCGTGGTTTTCTGATCTGAACGGTGGGTGGCTCGTTTTCAGTACTTTTGCGGAGACACATCGGCACATCGCGTTTCAGCCAGCAATACACATCAGAATTCGTTTCGGCGCATCTCGTTTCAGCCCTTCCATACGCGGAATACACTGGTTATTTCGGATAAATTGCAAACAGATTTGCAGGACACTCTATATCGTTCGCTACCTTAGAAAACCTATCGTGCAGGAAGAAAAAATACATTAATTAAATATTGAACCCCTTCCCAAGCTTGAAAATGCCAAAACAAAACAGCATACAAATAGCGTTTTGTACATAGATAAGAGGCAAAGTTCCATTTAATTGTATAAATGTAGTTTGCTCCTAATAAATGTATAAAAAGCACGTTGTCCAATTGTATTTTCTGGAATATTCACGCTTGAAAAAGGGAGCATGATATTTCATTCAGGTATAGTTGAGCTGTGCAACTGGTTTTTTAACGTATCGAAATGATTTAGATTTTCCAGCGAATATGTTTACAATGAATACAGAATAACAGGTGGATTGCGCGTCAGGAGGGGCTGAAACGAGATGTGCCGAAACGAATTCTGATGTGTATTGCTGGCTGAAACGCGATGTGCCGATGTGTCTCCGCAAAAGTACTGAAAACGAGCCACCCACCATTCAGATCAGAAAACCACGCTAATGTTCATGTCTGAGAACTGCTCGTAATGCGTCAGATTAGAAAGATGACGTTTCTAGGTTGCGAGAACAAATCGTAACCGTACAGATCAGCAGCTCAATGTTGCCGATCTGTCAGCAAATTACCCGTGGACTTTCGGGTAATTTGCTGCCAAATGGGCAACATTAGGCTGCTGATCTGTACGGACAAGATTTGTTCTCAGAAATAGAATACGCCATCTTTCCGATCTGCAAACAGTTCTGAATCATCAAAATTTGTGAGGTTTCCCGTTCCGATTGACGGAAAGATATATCGACCATTAAAAATGAGACACATAGGCACAAACGTGTTTCAACCCCCCAAACGCAACTGAACTATCAGAATTGAAGTGATTAGAAGGAGAGAGTACAGGGGTATATAGCCAAGAGTGTTGTACACTCTAAGGCACAAACCTATATTGTCTATACTAACGTACTTTGATATGTTTGACACACCCCCTAGACTATATAGGGGCAGTGCCTAACAGGAAAACGAGAAGCTCAGGGCGTCACTACTAGTCCACCCACTGAGGCAAGGGTCTAAAGACCAGTCAAACAGAGTACAAGTACAACAAGAGCAAGACCAGGGTGGCACTACTAGTCCAACCACTGGGATAGGCCACAAGGCCAGTCAGGGTAAAATATATAAAGGGCAGTACATAGTTAAGGCCCTAGAAGGTGAGATGCAACAGGAACAAGACCTAGCTGTACACAGTGCCACTGATGATCTTTAGGCGCAAGCGCCTTCGTAAAGATATCAGCTGTGTTGGCACCGGAAGCCAAGTGTACTACGCGGGTCTGGCAACGCTGCTGTAGCTCGCGCAGGAGGAAGTACCGCAGCTCAATGTGCTTCGCTCTGCCCTCAAGTCGAGGCTCCTGACACAGGAGGATCATGGGCCTGTTGTCAACGTACAGGACTGGGGCAGAGCTAGGCCGCTAACCTAAGTGAGTGAGCAAGAAGGTCAGCCAGCGGAGCTCTTTGCCGCCATGGCACCGGCGTAGATCTCCGCCTCACAGCTGGACTGAGCAACAGACGACGAGCGAATAGCTCTCCACGAGACAGCACCTGAACCAAGGCTAAAGCAGTAGCCATGTGAGGACCTGAGGGTCTCGGCGTCGTCTGCCCAGGAAGCTTCTGTGAGCCCAGTAAGGACCACTGGCCTGCGTCCTCCCAGCACTAACCCCATGCCCAATGTACTTGCAAGATAACGCAAAACCCTCTTAGCGGCAGACCAGTACTGTGGTCGGTGTCTGTCTGTGGCCACAAAGTGAGCCAGGATGCTGAGAGGGTATGCGAGATCTGGACGAGTGTAAGTCATCAGGTACATGAGGCAACCCACCAGCTCTGCGTAAGGACAACTGAGCTCTACTGACTCCTCAAGAATTGGAGCAGAGAGCCTATGGTTTACTGGCAGAGGTGTGGGCTGTGCGGAGGAGAACTGAAGACCGAACCTCTGAAAGACCTGGCGCACCAAGTGTGACTGGGTGAGGGTGATGGTGCGCGCTGCTCTGTCCCTGGAGATTTGCAAGCCA